GTTGTATTATTATCAGTTATTATGCTTTTGAAACTGGTCAACACCCTAATAAGTATATATACAAGAAAACTTCAAATCTAATTACTTGAACAATAAGCGGTTTTGATATTGTCAAATGCACTTTTCTCATTTGAAAATAAATTTATCTATGCCACCGTCCCTTTTAAGCACCATTTACTTAGATTATTATCGAGTAAATCAAAAACTATTGTACTGTGTAGCTTAACAGCAAAGAAGGCTACGTTATATATCCAAAAATAAAATAACGAACGGCAGATAAACAAATCAGAAGAAGCAAAAAATATATACATACATACATATATGAATACTTTTATACCAATATCAATAATATTTAGAAGAAAACACCTTAAAGTCACACATAATATAATACTATTAATATTATTGAGACGACATTAATGGAATTTTTGTAATAAAACAATAAGGAAAACTAAATTGTTTATATTTTTTTGTTTTGTTTAATGAATGCATTAAGTTTTTTTTTTTTTAAATGAAAAAGTAGCCAAGTAAGGTTAGGTAACTGCTTTGATGTACAGTTGTAAGTGTCAAGTGTATCTCATTATTTATTAAATTACTGTGATCATTATAGTGTAATGTATGAGTTAAATTTGAATTCATTGATAAATCATTGCTTACTTTATTAGCAGTTAATAACAATTCAAAGCGAAGACGATCCGCTGTGAGCAAGTATATTATATACCCACAGGTATACCTACCTATTTTTAAGATTGGTAGGATAGAATAGGTTGGATAGGTTTATAATGTTATTAAAATAATTTATTATGGTATAATTAGTAGGTAATGAGTTGGATTGAATTAATTTAAAAAAAAAAATTGAATTTGGAAATGTCATTGCCTGGGAATAAAATATAATAATATACAGAAAAGTTTCAAATCCCGTGAATAATAATTTTTCATAACTCATATCTCAAATCATTACTCTGATTTTAAACATCTAATTACGTCCAAATTTTAAGTTCAAATAAGAAAACTTGTATTTGTATAAATAACTTAAAATGTTCATATGTACATGATGGTGTCCCACAGAGATCTGACATTCCGACAAATGAAATAACTTTTATTCTAATCAATATTTTTAAAAAATTTCTTTTAAATAATATTCATAGACACTTGCGCTGCATTTTTAGAATACATTTTTTATTTTTTAATACTGAAAATAAAAAACTTAAAAAAATAAAAATGCTTCGAATTTCAACTTCAATACCTTGTTAGATCAGAAAGTGAATCTAGTTTGTACTTTGGGGAAGGGGGAGGGGTCAAAAGTAAAAAGCTCTCAATATTTTTCTACATAATCGGGATAAACAGTCTAAAAATTAAGGAAAAAACGGGAATTTGTACGCACAATCAGTTTTCGACAAAATTAATTTTGGTTTTTGATGTAACTTTAAAACAACAAATAACCATATAGATACATGAAATATTCACCGAATGTTTTTTGAATATCCAATTTTCTACCAAAAACCTTCTTACAGTAGTTGTCATTCGAAGGATTTATATTGCTCATAAAAGAAACAAAAATACACGAACAAAAAACATCATTGTAAATCAAAGCATTCATTGCTCCAATCAGAATCTAAAAAATATCCACAATTGTATTCATTTATATATATATATATATATATATATATATCATACACAAAAAAAGTTTATTTATTGAGGAAGACTACTAAATTCTATCATCTAAAAGGGTTGCATAAGTCAAAACCAGATCCCATACAAAATATTATATAAAATAATATACATTTATATTTAGTTATATATTATACAATATCATATTATTATGGTACCTAACCATCATTTAGGGAGATCGGTCCTCGAAAACGCTGTTAATGAAATATTCAAACGGTTTGCCGTGTGGCAGATAACAAAAGGATGTTATTGAACCACTTTGGGGCGTTTGTGTTATGGGTATGGGGGGAAGGGACGACCATTATTATATCGGACGGACAGACAGACGCAGCGGCAGCAACAGCACCTCCACCGCTAATTTCTGGTGATAAATGACGAACGACGGATACGGCCAATAATCCGTTTTTGTGTATGACCTCCCRGCCCTGCATGCTACCGCTCACCACAGAGTTTTGCATTTGAAAGGCCATAAATTATATTGTAATATAATATACTATATACATTGTACGATAACCACGGCGCTCCCGTGTACAATAATATTTTCATCTACCGAAAACAAATCTCCTGAAAATGTGTATAAATTATTATTCTTATCAATTATTACCACTTTTATTTTTGAGACTCATAGTACAGTCGTGAATGGGAGGAAGGATGATGGTGTCGATCGAAAAACTGATTAAGTGTTATACAGTCGAAAATGGTCYACGGTCTGAGACCTCTCTGACGCGTGTAAGAGGCTTATAAATTCAGAGGGAAAACAAATCGCATATTTTCCAATGTCCCATTTAAATATCTCATTTGTTTATAACGTCTGATGACGTTTCCGGTCACGACTTCATGCAAAAAATATCTTATGGGTAAGATAAAGCGATACCTATGCATTATTTTTATATTATTGTTATTATTATTACTCTTTTYGTATCATCTAAGACACGTCAACCACATATCCGCGTATGTATAAATAATCCACAGAAGTTACATTTTTTCGTTATTGAGCGTCCACTCGATGTCCCTTACTAAAAATATTACCCATTTCCCAATATATACTACAATTACTACAATAACCAACAAAAACTCGAATGCAAAACAGGAGACATGTACACAATATTGTGATGTCATACATTACATAATATATACTTCTTGTGATGTATATTATTTAAAGCCGGTTGTAAAGCTATTACGTACAATGTACGGTAACGTAATAATTATAACATGGTATTCCTCATATTATAATATTTAAAACTATAATAATTTAATGGTCTATGATATTATGGCAAGCGGGTSAACCGYTAGWACTTTTTTTATGATAATGTATACAAAATTAAATTCTTTTTGATTGGCTTAAACTAGTATTCAACTTTATAAAAATATCGAAAATTGTGTACGTTTGAATATTTTTCTACGCTCTATATCAACGAAGTTTTTATTTAGWATGGACAAAAACGTTAACTGTCACCACCAACCTTGTAAAAAAAAAAAGTACAATGAGTGTACAATATAGTGAACATTGCATAATGTTATTTATCTCGAAAAGTGGAGAAAAAAACAACGAAGTGTTTAAACGCACACTCGAATCACGTTCTAGATTTCTGATCTTTCGAGACTTGTTATAATGATCGTTTCTGGGGTTGGAATACTTGCTTAACATTTTTTTTCTGTGTAAAATAATAAAACCCTTGGTCGGCAAAACATTGAAAAGCACGTATGCTCGTAAAACGCAAAATATTGGGATAGTCTCAAAACGATTCCTCTATACATACTTGTATAAATAATAATTTGTGTTGCGTGTTGAACGAAATCCACTGACAATTATCGATTTCATGTGATAATGAACAAACAGGTATAACAAACAATTTTAATTTCTGAATAGCTTTTCCATCTTTTTGAACATTTTTTAACACAACAGCTGCCAACTTATAACACAATATATTATTATATACCTAAAATACACAAAATACTTAATATCATAATTGACATCAATTAATAGGTCTAACTAATAAGAAATTAAATAAACTAAATTTGATGTGACTATAMATTTTAGTTTAAAATAAAATAAGGTAAATTCAAATTGGAGCCCTTGAAAGATGATCCATTTATTTTTTGGTGACTTCCTGGATAACAAAAATAACAATATAAACACCTATTGTTTTAGTAAAAGCATTTACACTTTAAATTTTTATATTCATATCAAATACTTATTTTTAAATATAACGTATCAATTATTACATTATCAAGTATTATAAATACTTGATTATTGATTATATATTATTAATTATTGATTATATAAAATATTTTTAGGGACCTAGTGTGGTATGGTGGCAGTCACTTATGTGCGAGAGCTCCTGGTGGGTGACCACCAGCATTTTAAGTGACAAATCTTCACCTCAAATAGTCAAGTGTTTCCGAAACAAACCTTAATTCCTCTACAAAATGTATTAATGACCATAGTTTCCGAAGTTTAAGTAGGTACACCAAAGAAAATTGAAAAARTTATTTTTTAAATTTAATACRTTAAGTACTGTTTTTAATGTAATTTATAATTGAAAATGTTTATTGGAATTATTTTGTTTTGTACACCAGCACAAAATTATTTAATATAACAAATAACAATTACTCGAATAAAACAAAAGTAAATTAGATAATAATTTAACTAGAGTTAACTAGATATATTATAATACTATTTTGTATATTTTGATTAATTTTATTTTTGTGTTTTAAAATTAGTATTTYAAATAAATATTATACTCTTAAAAATATTATTCAAACATTGCAGTGGGCCAAAATATAAAGATAGGTATTATATGTATAATTTAATATATTGATYAATACTTTCAARTATATATACATATATATTTTAGTAGAATTTTTTATGGTGTGTTTTCATTGTGTTCTCAACTGCGACACTGCAGAAATATTATGATGACGATGATTACAATGATGACTACGATGTTAACGCGCGTGTATGTTATTCGCAGGACGTAACGTGCGTAAATTCTCGTTTTCAGATGTCGGGGAAAATTTCAAAGTAAATGCGCGTGTCATGTGCACCAAAGTTGAACGACAAACGCGCATAAAACGATAATAGTGAATATATAATAATATTATAGGATGGGTTAAGGATGGATCGGGGTGATGGGACGCGATGACTGCAGCGAGTCCACGTGCAGAACCCTTTACATATTATACATATACGGACGTTTGTTTAATACGTGTGAAGTGTATGTGTGTGTGTGCGCGCGCGCGCKCGCTGATATCATATACATACACACGTACATATATAAGACACGTGCACTGCCGACAAGAAAATATAATATTCCCAAGCAGTCTCTGTGCCGACTGCGTTAAAGTTCGGGGCTGTAATTTTTTGACGTTCACGTTCGAAATCTTATAGGTGTATGGCGCACGGCGGCGATGACGTGTCTGCAGCCAGTGGTGGTGCGATGTGCTGCAGCTCGTAACTCTTGTAATCCTGTTTGCATATTCAGCACCGCCACCGCCGATGGTAATAAATTACGTAGGGTCTTATATAGGGTTCGTATATATTATTATAATATATATTTTATAAACATATCGACGGTGACGCGTGGGATAAAGACTTACGATATTGTAAGACGTAGGTACGCAGACATAGGCATTCGTATGAGTGATTTAAAATACAGGAAATAACACTTTATTTTATTGGGGAGAGAAAAAAACACGCGTATTCAGAGAGGAAAACAGTGTACGATGTAATAATATATATAATGTTACACAGGTCCCGGGGTGTCACTCTTATAACAATAATAATATAATAAACACTAACCTTATGGCCGCAAATCAACAAAATCCATCGATACCCGTGTAAACGATGCAAAGTGACTATAATATTTGCATACAGTACTAAATCATTTGGGTGCATATTGTATTGCTATTTTTTTTTTCGTTCCCAT